AGAGAGCGAGAGAGGGGGAGAGAGAGAAGAACGGGAGTGACGATGTGGGCGTCGAGGGAGACGGCAAAAGAAGAGGTGAAATGATGCGAGGGCGTTAGGAGGGAACACGTCAATGAACAAGAGAGAACGGGAATTAAAAATGATATAGAAAGGAAGAAGGAAGTAGGATAACAAAAAGTAATGTTTTGTTGAAAGCTTGTATGATCCACCTGAGCGCAAAATCAGACAGAATCCGACTTTTTGATAGAAATACGAAGCGAGCGCCACGGGTAACGGCGCAGTTAAATTTGTGCAGGCGGTTCGGGATGACGGGCGACAACACAGCGGAATACATAAATGCTTACTGTGGAATGAGGGAAGCGGGCTGTCCGACGAGAGCTGTTTATTGTGAGCTGTCATCAATCGCTGTTCTACCCCTGACTGTTCCCAGTGGATTTTTGTCAGCCGATTAAACATCTAAATCTGACACCCGCGGGTATTTTTCAGGACTGTCACTAATAGTTCATCGATGTAGCGCGTGCAGTCAGCTTCGTTTCAGAATTTAAGATATTCATGAGTGACATTTCTAGGTACATACAATTTTACTGCATATTATTTTTAACCAATCATAGCAAATAAAGAAACAATTATTAAATTTTCTTCTTCTTTATAGAAAACATACATTTTTAAGGTCAAAACTCCTATCACTTGCGAATTGTCTACATTTATAGCAACACTAATACATCAGCATATATGATAAAGAAACTATTCCGAAGTTTCAAATCATATGCACTAAAACAACGCAAGCAGACAGCTTTTCAACAAAACAATATGATTCAAACTTTAGCTTCAAAAATCGCCCTAATGCAAGCCATTACGTAGTTTCGAACTCCAGAGACGCATTCGCCGAGGCCCTTGTGCGGGCAGCAGAACGAAGCGACGGCAGCGCGGCGCGTGCGCGGGTGGAACTACAGCTCCTTTCGGCCCCGCGATTGAGCTCTCCTTTCAAGAGCCCATTCCGCGGAGAGATTAAAAGAGGAGTTTCCATTTCGCTTGTTTGGAGTCGCAATCCCAGAAATATGAGCTCTCTCCCGATACTAACGCGAGCGAATTACGCGGGTGGGGTCAGAGGGGCGGAGCGAAGAGGGAGGATGAGGAGGAAAAGGGTGGAAGAGGCGGTGGAATAGAGGGGATAGGGCTGAAGTAGAGGAATGGCACGGGCCTGGGACAAAAAAAACGAGATCTGGTGTTGTTAGTGGACACAGGATCAGAGAGCGGCAGTATCGCTTGACCGGCTGAGTGTAGCGCAGAGATATTGACGTTGCCTCCAGGTTCTCTGATCTGAAGGTCTTAGGGTTCGAGTCCCCATGGAGGTGAATTTTCTATATTAGCTAGAGAGCAAGATTGAAGTCAGTTGTTGTCTGGAAAAGACCGGTTGCTCTGATCGATATTTTACGTGGTTTCTCCAATCAAAACTAGGCGAGTGCCTGAGTATTACTCAAGCCATGGACCGTGCGCTACCTTTCCTTGTCCAATCCTTTCCCCAGGGGGAGGGATGGGGAATGAGGTGTGTGGTGAGAAAGAAAGGGCTGGAGTTGGGGTTGGGAAGGGAGGGCGCGAGGGGGAGGGAGGGGCTGTGGAAGCTGAGAGATGGGAGAAGAGTAACGTGGGAGGGCGAGAGAAGGCAGAGTTCGCAATGGGATGAAGGACGGGGCGGTGGCGGAGGCGCGAGAGCTGAATCGCGTCCATCGCAGCTCTAATGGAGCGGGATGGTGACTGCGATACCCGGTCTCTTCTTGGGGGCGGATACGGAAGTGAGAAGAAGAGAGCTGTGGCTGGAGGTCGTCGCAGAGAAGAGGGGCTCGGATAAAGGAAGAGTAAACGTCAAGAAATATGGATCTGCTAAGAGAATTGTAGGAAGAGGTAAAGAACTATAAAGAAAAGAAGGGAGTAGATGGGAGTAAAAGTTCGGCGCGGGATAGGGAATAAGTAACATATAAATTGAAAGTAATTAAAGGCTGCGAAATGAACAAAAACTAATGTACTCGGTTGAATAAAAGGAACTTGTCAATATTTTTAGGGAAGTTGGTAAGGTACTCGTATAAGCTGTTTAGAAAGGCCAAACGATACTGTACCAACGTCATAATAGCACGTCTAAAACTGGAAGCAGCAAAACTACTACCACTAAGGAAACCTGCGACACTGCAAACCTCCCACCGCAAAGCCTGCTGGGAAATGAGGT